TTCCAAATCTGCAGGGCTCAAGGTTACTGGGGCAGGAATAAAAAATTTTACTAGTGGATAACAGGAAGTTATTATCCACTAGTAAAATTATCCACTCTCATTTCTACCCTTGATTTCTGGATCCTGGGTTCAGGCTTATGGGAGAGATAGTACCAAATAATGATTCAAAGTGTAGAACCACATCTTGTAATTCAGAGCTCATCCCTTTAGGGGCTTGTCTCCAAAACAGCTCTGTAACTGAGTCTTCAGTAAGCCATTCCACCTTCCAGTTAGCCCAGATAAGTTGAATGGGCAAATTTGGGGTAACATTGTCCTCATTAGTTAAAAATCGATGCTTGGATACTGTTAAGAGAATAAGCACACAAGCAAACAAGCTACAGAGCAGGAGAAAATATTTACAAGAGACATATTTGATAAAGGATTGTTATCCAAAAATATACAAAGAACTCTTAAAATTCAACAATAAGATAGCCAGGTGCCAGTTGCTCATGCCTGTAATCCTACCTACTCAGGAGGCAGAGATCAGGAAGATCTCAGTTCAAAGCCATCCCCAGGCAAATAGTTTGCAAGACCCTATTTCAAAAGTACCCAACACAAAAAAGGACTGGTGGAATAGCTCAAGTGGTAGAGCGCCTGCCTAGCAAGTGTGAAGCCCTGAGTTCAAACCCTAGTACAGCCTAAAAGATAAATAAAATTCAATAACAAGAAAATAAACAATGCAATTTTTTAATGGGCCAAAGGCACTTTACCAAAGAAGGTATACAAATGGCAAATAAACTTATGAAAAGATTTGCATACCCAATGTCATTGGAGAATTATAATTAAAAACAACATGGGATCACTACACACCTTCTAAAATGGTCAGAACACTGACACCAAGTGCTGCCTGGATGTAGAGCAACAAGAACTCTCATTCATCGTTAGTAGGAGCACAAAATGGTACAGCCACTTTGAAAGTGGGACAGGTTAGGAGGTAGAGGAAACACAGACTGGTAGGGCACAGTCCCTGGTAATAAATCAAGACTTACAAGATAGTCAAGTTTTCAAGGTCTCCGTGAGAAAACAACAGGCATGGAGATTCCCAAGTTTTCCATGGGAAAGTAACAGACATGGAGACTACATGACACATGGCCCACTTCCTCATTTAGAGAAACTGCTGAAACCAGTCAGCAAATCCTAGCCACTGTGTTAGGCATGATCAGAGACCTGAAGAAACACATAAACAAAGCATGCAGATCCCTGGTTGGCCCAAAAGATGCATGTTTTCCCTCATAGGAGGAAGATAGATAGATTCAAAGATAAATATATACACAAAAATAAGCATGAGTATATACAAACTCAAATGTAGAACACGTTTGTAACAGTGGAACTACTCTATGGAACTGGAGAAAAGAAGGAAAGGAAAAGAGAATGATAGAGCTTCAGTAATATCACGTTCCATAAGATGTAAAGGTAGAGGTTATAAGGATGTGTACTGAAAACTTTTGAAAAACAGGGGAAGGAAGGTAAAGGGGTAAGGGAGAGTATTCAAAAGGATTGAACAGACCAAAGTAAAGGACACCCACAGAGGGCATACATTGAGACACCCCTTTGAACATCAACTTAAATATTAATAATGAAAATCAGAACTGAAAAATAGGCACAGTGTATGCGGAGGGGGGGTACTAATGGGAAGGGGGAGGGTAAAGGAAGGAGATTAAGGTGATGGTATATGGTTAATAGATTTCAAATACCTATATGAAACAGAACTAAATAACCTCTTATAATTGCTTTAAGTGGGGTAGGGAGGGGGCTGAGGAGGACAGACGATGGGGACAATGTAAATAATGTACAATATAAGTCTAATTGGAATTGTCACTACAAATCCCCCATATAATGAATATTTCCTAATAAAATTTTTATTTAAAAAATAAAATAGCCTAGAATTGGGGCTGGGAGTATACTCAATGGTAGAGTACTTGCCTAGTATCCACTTTGATCCTAACACCACAAACGAAAACCAACAAAAAAATCTGTACATGTTCAGGACAGATGCATTTTTAAAAAATATTTTTGATCATGGTTGGTTAAACCACTCAGTCTATGAAGCACTCAGCCTGTCATCACAGCCAACACTGAGATTATTCTCATTTTATTTCTTAAAATTTATTTCACAGTGCTGAGACTCAAACCCAGGGTCTCCTCCATGCTAAGCAGAACTCCACCACTGAGTTACATCTCTGGTCTTTATTGTTCCCATTTGATTTGGTTTTCTTTTTTGTGGTACTGGGGTTTGCACTAAGGGCTTTGTGCTTGCTAGACAGGCTCTACATTTGAGCCACACCTCCAGCCCTATTGTTTCTCATTTTAAATATGTCAAAGTTGAGAGGCAGAAAGGTTCAGTCACTTGCTTAAGGTTAAAGGGACAGAACTCCTTTTCTAGACTTTCCTTCCCCTGAGGGTAAAAACAGCATCCTGTTGAACCATATGTGCCTGATCCAAATATCCTTCCATTTCCTGAACCAAATGGAAAAAAGCACTGTAACCCATATTACCCAATCTGTTCACTTGTCAGTCTTTGTAAAGCCAATGCTATGGAGTCTGCCTAGAAACCAGGGGCTGATGGGAAATGATTGTTCTTATTACAGAATAACAATAGTCCGTCTTTATTTTGAATTTTGATATTTTGCTCATCATGGGCTTTTCACATTCATTTTTATTTTTTCAAAATACTGCACTGAGATATTATTTATCTTAATTACTGAGGTTTTTTTGTGCTCTGTGAAATGTTCCTTTCTTATCTCACTGTAATCGGGGCCCTGACTAAATCAGGTCTTGGCCTGAAGACACCAGGTGAAATCCCACAGTGTTAACCTTCTCTAAACAGGGCCTTGTTTATTGCTTCTTGCTTCATTCTGTGAGTTCCAGATGTCCCCATTCCTAGTGAGGCTTCTCATGGCCTATGCAATTACAGAAGTGCCTCATCTTCTCATCAGAAATATTGAATCATAAAGCTGTGACAATGGAGATGGTTCCAAGTGTGGTAAGTGCAGTCACATGTACTCGAGACAACAGATATTTTCCACCCAGCCTTAGTCACATCTTACCCAGAAACTACAAGTTCCCAATTCCTACTTTGGTGTGCTCATTTGGGCTGATGGCATCAGAACTCCTAGGTTCTCCAAGCACTGATATGCCAAGAGTTTGGCTTTCCTACTGCTTAGAGTGGGTGAGGGGGAGTCCCTGGCTCAGAAGCCCAACCTCTGGCTTAAGAGCCTGGAGTCTCTTCCTTAGACAAGCTGAATGACTTTGCAACAATACTTTTTCTTTCTTTCTTTCTTTCTTTTTTTTTTTTTTTTTTTGTAGCACTGGGGCTTGAGCTCAGGGCCTCACACTTGCCAGGCAGGCACTCTACTACTTGAACCACTCCACCAGCCCACTACTTTTCACTGGAGATGAACATGCCTTTTTTTTTTTTTTTGCCATTTCCCAGAGATTCAGGAAAGGCAGAAAAACCACTGCAAAAAGCCTGTTGTTGGAGCATAACACTTGCTGGTTCTGTTTTTGTGCAAAGGGACAGAGAGAGGAACTGCAGACCACAGGATGAAGAACTGTTCCCTAACATCCCCTTTACCTTGCACAAAAGGACCCACAATCCCAGCTGGCTCTTACCCTTGTCTCTTGGAACTGTTGCAGAAGAGAACTTTTGCAAAGCTTAGGAGGTCAGCTCTGAAGTGAAAAATAAGTCAGGGAGACCTTGCAGCCTATACCCAGGCATTCTTGCTAAGTACTTTTGGACAAGAGCACAAAAAAACCCTCAACTTCCAAGGAAGGAAACAAGCATTTATTAAGAACGTGATAAATACCCTGCATCCACTTGCACCCTCTGCAATCCAAGTTCCAAGCACAGTTGTAGTAACCTTCTAAAACCTCAAATTCACCACCAGTATAAAATGAGCTAATATTTGTCAAGTGCTAACATGCATTACTGGCACATAGTAAGTGCTGTAGGATTCCTAGTCAATAAAATCCCTTAGAGGGTCGAATGCCAACTTCATTGCTCGCCTCTGCCTTCTGCATCCTACCAGGCACTGCCTTGCTAGCACTACTCCAGGCCTTACTTCATCTCTCCCAAGCAAAACTACGTCTTTGCCCTAGCACGTGCCTTTCTCTCTTCATTAAACATTCTTCCCAGACCCCATCCTCTTCATTCTAAGAACTTCTTCTGCCTTCCAGGACCTCCCAGAAGTCTCTTCGTTTTACCGCATGACATTGATCATAATTGTAATCGCATACTAAATGTTTTAGGTTATTTGTGTTTGCCTTCCTTACTAGACAATAAAGGGCAAGGGCTACAATTCTGTTTCTGCCTGTCAAGGAACCCAGACTTGTCTCTAATGAACAATGAGTGCGAACTGTTAAGTACCACTGGCCTAACGTTGCACAGCTGATCTAAGACTCGAACTCCTATGACATTTGGCTTTGAAGCCCATTCTGGCTGCAGCACCGACTGCTCTCTTCTCTCTGTAAAGCTGGAGCCGGTACAGAGGTGAGAGGAGAAGTGAGTTTCAGGAGCTGCAGGTTTAAGAATCTACAAAGGGCCACTGGCAGCAAAAGAACTCGGGCGCGGCGCGCGCTGGCCTCAGCTCAGAGACGGGGCATCCGTCACGTGCACCCTGCTGGGCCTGCCACCGCCGCACCCACGGGCAGGAATGCGGCCCCGCCCGGCATTCTGGAGGGCAAAACCGCGCTGGCCCTGGGGACTGACGTCAATGAAGGGGGCGCCTCCACGAGCCGCAAGAGGGCGGAGGGAAGCGCCCGTGAAGACACGCCCCCTCCATAGCCGCTCAGCCGCTGATTGGACTCCGAGAATCTCCGCACTGGATTTTGGAGGCGGGCGGAGGGAGAAGGCAGGGCATGACACGCCCCTCCCCCTGTGCGACCGCTGATTGGCTCGCGGAGTCTCCGCGTTCGATTTTGGAAGGCTGGCTCTGCAGCTCGCAGCAAGGCTGGGGCTGAGGATTGGCTGTTCCTGGGCTCCGGAGCGCTTTCTCCGGGGTAACCGTCGCTGCCATCCAGGTGGCCCGGACAGCTCGGGGCTGCGTGCGGCCCGCCTCGGGCAACCAGGTACGTGGATCGGCGGTCCGGCGCCGGTTTGCACTGGGAGCAGGCGGGCGGACTGTCAGCCCGAGGGGGAGCGCCGGATCGCACAACCCATATCCACTTAGGGATCCATAGTTCTGCGGAGTGGCCACTTTTGATCCCGGGGTGGCCGATCGTTCTAGGGCTGTCACCGTGTAACCTCGGCCGAGATTCCCTCTCCCAGGCTTCTGTCCTGCCTGTGAATGCCGCTTGGCCTTTGCAAGCATCATCGCGGCAGGAAGCCCTGCTCTGCACACCCCACCCTCCCTTTCGAAAGCCGTGGAGGGGCTTGCCCCATCTGGATTTGAGGTCTCTCCCAGCTACCCTTCAGCGTGGCGCGCCTCTAACTCCCCACCGGACCGTGAAGTGCTGAGCGCACAGAAGCTGACTTGGGAGTCCTGACTTTGGATCGCAGGCGACCTCCAAAAAGCAGGCTCCAAGAGATTTCAGAAATTTCTGGGGTTTTTCTTTCCCCTGAAGACTTCCTCAACCATCTGGTAGAAACAAAAATAATAGTGATTGAGAGCATGGGTCCTGGGGTCAGATCACCTGGTTCATAACTGAGCCTCATCACCTACTCGCTTGTGACTTTAGGCAAGTTACTTAACTTTCATGAGCTTAGCTTTTTTTTTTAAATCTGTAAAATGGGTTTAACATTAAATGCCTATTAATAGGGGTGGTCTGATAATGCCATCTCAAGTGAGGATTAAAAAGTCCCTCTGGAAATACTGTTCTGTGCTTGCACAGCAAGCGGCTTCCATAAGTTTAATCAGGAAGCTGTGATTGAAGGCTAGGTGCTGGGGTTCAGAGGCATATGTAGGAGGACAGAGGTCTGAGGACTGCCTGGGCAAAAAGTGAGAAACCCTATATGAAAAATAAGGAATGCAAAAAGAACTGGAGGCATGGCTTAAGTGGTAGAGCACTTGCCAAACAAGTGTGACCCTGACTTAAAACCTCAGTACTGTCCCTTCCCAAATATAATAATAATACGGCTAGAATTTAAGTGTTCAGATGAAACTGTTGCCTTTCGTTTTCTTTTCCCATGAGCGAAGACCCCTGTTGGTGACTTTACAGCTGATGGTGTTGATGAAAATGTCCACGATTCTATAGTCCTATTAGTTAACAGCCTCCTCCTGACATCATTTATTCAATGACTTACAGTACGTGGAGGGTTTGTTGTATGGGAGGTACGAGGTACTCTTACATACTTCACCTCCTTTATGCCGCTGACAATTTTTTTTTACTCATTATTTTGATGAGGAGCAAACTGAGACTTACCCAAAGTCATTCAGTTGTCAGTAGCACAGCCAGAATTCAGTGTTCTTGACCTCTTAAAATTATTGCTTAACCTAGACATTTATTTGCAAGTCTTGTCTGAGAACTGGTTTGCAGAAAGGGCCCAGGCTCTTTCTCCACTTTCTAGAGCCCACACAGCCGTTTGGACTGGACTTCCCACTTGAGCAGTAGCAGATTTCAGCTGCTGTCCTGTGGATGTCTGTGCAAAGTAGCAGGCCAGGGCCACAAGTGTTGATTTGGGCCTTGGGCCAGAGCCTCCAGTTATTTTTCTAAGAGGCCCTTGGCCTCTGATTACAGAGATTATTGCTATTGCCAGGGTTATTTCATAGACAACAGGCTGAATAGGAATCAGCAGTTGCCCAGCTCACCCAAATGTGTCTGCCTCTCCTGGTTACCTCCCTGAGACCACAGTGAAATACACACTTAGAATAGCTGTCAAAACTAACTTCATATGTTACAAAGAATGCTCAATTATGTACCATATTTATATATTGCAAATCCATTGCTGAGTGGGTCATTTTTAACATATACTTCTTTGTTAGAGCTCTATAGTTCTTCACTTGCTGCTTGATTCAAAACAAGTTGAACTTTGTCATTTTCAACATTTGGTATTTACTTAGGGCATTCATTTTTAACCTAGTTTGTGTCCGATTGAAATATTTTGTAATTAGGCTTTACTCATTTGTGCACAGACCTATGTTTATCATCAGTTCTGAAATGAAAGATCCATTTGTAATCTTTTAATAGCCCTGTGGTTTCATTTTCCAGTTTTAAAAAGTACCATTGTTCAAGTATACACTGACCTTCCTGGATTAAGGTTTTATCCAGGAAACCAGGGGGAAAGTAACTATTGACATAAAATGAAGCAGGAAAAGTTTCTTCTGATAAACTGTTCTGATTCACCACTTCATTGGTTTTCCCAAAGTTTTACCTTCTAACTCTACTTGGAATCCACCTACTTTCATTCCCAGCCTTACTCTGCCATCTGAATCCCAAAGTGAGGCCTCCAGATTATTCTGGAGACTGCCCAATCAAGACCTTGCAGCCCTGCAGAGGTTCCTGGGACTATTGGGAAGTCAGGCCCCAAGGCATTTCCTCTCCCCAAGAAAGCTGCTGCTACTTGATCCTTGTCACCATTCTATCCTAGGGAGGGGGTTAAGATTACCTGTGTCTGAGAAGAGGGACCCCTTCTCCCACCACTCTAGGCCAGCTGAGAAGTTAACTGTCTGCTTGATCCCTAGGGTGCTTGAGAGCAGAGTTCTCTATTTTCCTAGATCCTGACCCCACAGCCCACTCTAGCAAATCAGTGTCTTGCCTCCAGAGGAGATTGGGGAAGTAGTGGAAGGGGAATTTGCTGACAACTAATTAACCAGACTTGTCCACACATGCTGCTTTTAGGCCCTGGCACACAAGCTTGTTATCCTTCTGTACAGATCTGTACAGACGTGGCCCCATCAGGGAATCACTGACCCTCAGCACAAGTGCAAGCCCTTTAACAGCCCATCAGCATTGACTGTTCTCACAGTAGGAAGAGGGAAACTAGCCCACACCGGTGATGTGAATTGCCTGCAGCCTGTCAGCCAGGGAGTGACAGAACCAGGGCTGGAAACCTGAGTCTCCTGACTCATAAGCCAGTGCACTGGACTGGGCTGCAGTTCCAGATTTTTGTGTGGAAGCTGAAGAGTTTCCTCTGAAGAGTGCCACTGGTTCAAGGCTGGGGGAACTGTCACCCAGTAAACAGCCTTGAACCAGTGGGTTATGACAGAAACTGGGACAGGGTGAAATGTGGACATTACTGGAATAAGACGACTGTTATGAGGTAAGGTGGAGGGGAGGGGTAATAATTCTGGGAGTCTGAATGGGGTGGAGAGATGACTCAAACTCTCCAGAGAAAAGAACAAATGGCAGGTTAGGGTGAGGGTGGCTTTGCAAGTAGGTTGAGTATAGGAAATTGGAAATGCTTTAATTTATGATGCTCTGTTTGCTTCTTTCTACAGCAAGTACATAAATGTCTTTCTTTGAATGTATTTAAACACTCCCCGGCCCCCTTTGGTGGCCAGCTGCTGGATAGCCACCTCTGTAGATGGCTGTGAAAGGAGCCCAGCTCTAGCCTAGACCCATCCCTCCCTCCCCATTAGGACTGGGGCAGGGAGAGGAAGCAGCACAGGCCTGTCCTCAGCTGGCTCTGGCCACAATGCTTAGAGGAAATGGAGTGTCCATACTATACCTCTGACCTACATACAAAAGTCAGGAAGGCCAAAAAGAGGGACATTTACATTTATTTAGCTCTGAGTGCCTGATACTGTACTAGGCTCACTTAATGCTATTACAGTTCTGTAATAAGAGAAGTGGGTATTAATATAACATTTTACATTTAAGGCAACAGGTCAGAGAGGCTGAGAACTTGCCTATGGTCACAGAGCTAGGAAGATGGCAGAGCTAGGATTCAGACCCAGTTCTGTGCAATGCCAAAGTCCTTGGTCTTCCCTGTCTCCAGGCTGTTTTCTAACCCCATAGCTTTTTCAGGCTGTACTAGAGATAAGGATAAGGTGAAGCGTTTCTTATGCCATGATTATTCAAAGTGAAATATCCAGAAAGAATCAAGGCATTTTAATCTTTATTTCCTGGAGAGATACTGACACAAGAGCATAGCATCTATTGAACTTTCTTATGTCAACCTCTGATTTTGTAGCCTCCTGTTCTGCACTCTCCCCACTGTGGTCAGACCTGATTATTCTATTGTTTGCCAATTTATATCGATTCAGTTCATCCCAAGGTGGATGCTTCTAGATTTTATAAATTGAAAAACAGAATATAGGTTGAACACTCCTAATCTGAAAAAATTTAAAGTCTGAAGTGCTCCAAACACAAAACTTTACGTGCTGATGTAGTATCACAAGTGGAAAGTTCCACATCATGAAACTTTCTTTCTTGCACAAAGCTATTTTAAATATTGCATAAAATTACCTGTAGGCTGTGTATACGCTATATAGAAAACATAAGTGAATTTTGTGTTTAAGCCAGGTCCTGTTCTCAAGATATATCATTATATTCATGCAAATATTCCAAGATCTGAAAAATCCAAAATGCCAAGCATTTTGGGTAAGGGATAGTCATCCTGTGGCAATACCCAAGCACTGTTCTAATTGCTTTGTGTCTTCACATCATGCCTACAAAGTTGGTCCTAGCACCTGCAGTCAAGGCATGGACAGCCACCAGCAAGTGCTGAGCTGGGCTTCCAACTAGGGTAGCTCAGTTCCACGCTCCCCTCACCTGTGTAACAGTCTGGGCCTTTGCATTAAACATGTCTGATTCCAGTTCCAGTTGCACAACCATGGATGATCTGACCTCTCTGTTCCTCAGGCTCTCCATGAAATGATGATCAAAGTACCTACCTCCTAGGCTGCTGTGCTTAGTACATGTCACTGATGTTCTGTGAATCAAGCTCTTACAGCAGCACCTAATACACGCTTAGTGCTCAAGTTTGAGCCATACTGGCATCTTGCCACCTCATGGACTTGAAAGCACTTTGTAAGTGCTCCAGGCTTTGTGCTTAGACCCAGGTTTGTGATCATGGCAAGTCATTTAACCTGAGTGGCACTTCACCTGTAAAATGGGGATAAGCAGTAATTCTTACCTCAGCAGTTGCCAGGAATCCAGGTGTTTGGCATGTAAGCACTTAATGTATCAGTATTCGTACCATTTCCCCAAGGTGATCTTGAGAATCTAGAGTGATCTGAAGGCAAGACTTTACTGCAGTTTGAATCCTGAAAAATGGAAACACCAGAGGCCTTTGTGTCAGTCGGGATCCCCACTCTGGGAAGGGGGAGCCTGTTGAGTACTGATGTCTCTATGATTTACATCCTCAGAGCACCCGCAATGGGCACCCCAGCCTCTGTGGTGAGTGAGCCACCCCCTTGGCAGGCCCCCACTGAGGCCCGGGGCCGCAAGCAGGCCTCGGCCAATATCTTCCAAGATGCTGAGTTGCTGCAGATCCAGGGCCTGTTTCAGCACAGTGGGGACCAACTGGCTGAGGAGCGAGCCCAGATCATCTGGGAGTGTGCTGGGGATCACCGTATGGCAGAGGCCCTGAGGAGGCTGCGCAGGAAGAGGCCCCCAAGGCAGAAGGCCCTGGGTCATTCACTGCACCACTGCAGCCGGCTCACGTAGGTGCCTGGGACTGGGGGGCTGAGGGAAGGGGCAGTAGTGATGTCTGCTCTGCCACTTCTGGGCTGTGACCTGGAGCTGGTGACTTGGCCTCACCATAAAGTGCTTACAGTTGAGGTTGTTGGAAGGACCACACAGTACCACCATTGGCTGGCCCCTGAAAGACTGCTGTTACTGTTGGAATCATGTGACTCCATAAGGGATACCTGTTCTACCAGCACCACCTTATTTCACAGTGATTCTCAGCCAGGTGGGAGTGAGTATTGTTTGGAAGAAACCAAGTAATTCTATTTACCTGTTGTAGAATAGGTAACATTCAAAAACAAGCCTGCAATGGGAGTACAGAGAATATGGCATAGGAATATAGTGCAGAGGCACCACTTACAAGTTGTAGAAACCTTACCTTCAGGTAGCATCTCTCCCCAGGCTCCCTAATCATCCACCTCTTTGCCTAAGTCACTGCCAACCCAGAAGCAACAAGCCCCAGGGACCCAGCTAAACCATGGCCTACAACAATCACAACAGGCTCCCCACTGGGCTCCATTCCTTCGCTGCCCTCTCTGGGGCCCACAGTCAGAACATCAGACCTGAACAGGTCATCAGGTTTGGGTTGCCAAGTCAGCTTCACTGCTTGGATTAACTCCAAGTGATCCAAAGTTGCTGCTTAAAATACCTTCATGCCTGAAGGTAGAGACATGCCAAGTATCCCATTCCCTGATCTGGATCAGCTCTCTTTACAGCAGAGAAATAGAAGAGCTTCAACTAGTCACACAGTTATCAGGGGCAGAGAAAAAAGCCCTGGTCTCATTTTACTCTCAACAGTGTTTTATAGTCCTTCACGATGAAACTCTCTTTAAGTTTTCATCTTATTCTCCTTGTTGATGTTGCCTTATCATATACTTGCTCCCAGCAGTGTTCCAGAGCCCGGCTCTCTATTGGTTGACTCACAGAGCAGTGCCACTGAGACAGCCTCCAGTGAGCAGTTTGGGAACTCCCGAAGGATCCGCAGGAACTGGAGGAAGTCAGACCCCACAAGCTATCTCCACCAGATCAGACACTGATCCAGAAAGGGGTCAGGAAAGGTAGTATCCTCCCCATGAATCACAAGGACCCTTTGTTAAAGGTCCTGGGAAGGTGCAGAAGGGAGACCTGAGACAGGCAGCCCGACCTGGATAAATGAAAGCAAGAGGCCGTTGCTGCTGTCCTGCTCAAATCAAAACAGAACTGGAGGTGTCCACTGGACTCTGCACTTTGTGAGATCTATTCTCACCAGAGTGAGGAGACACCAAGACTGCTTCTGCCTCAGCCCTTCCTGACCTAGCACTGTTAAGTGGGCTGCATGATATCCCCTGGGAGTCAATGATGGGCCCTCAGATGCAGCATGTCTTCAGTCTGCTACTACTTTGCCAGTTACTACTGTTACCACACCCTCATGCCATCAGGCTAGCACAATGAAACTGTGGCTTAAGTGGAAAATAAAAACATTTGCATTAAGAATCGTGTCTATCTGTTACAGAAGGGGAGAATCCTGAAAGAGACTCTGGAGTCACAGGAGAAGGGACCAGGGTTCCCCCGGAAGACAAATCACAACAGGCCTCTTCTCCTTCCTCACCCTCATGCTCCAATGTCCCTGTGCCCCCTGTGCCACAGCTCCCTCTTCCAGACTGTTGGTCTGGAGGCTAGATGGGAGGGTCTCTGCAGGCAGTCCCGATCCACAGGAGGGCCAGGGGAAGGCTGTTACAGTCGGCCCCACATAATGAGCACTGGGTTCTTGGCTGAGTCTGCAAAGAAGCAAACACCAGCTTTTATGTGCCAACTGTCCCAAGGCAGGGAGAGGCTTTCTGATCATTCTAATGCCCCTCCACAATCCTAGGTATTTAGTGGCCTGGAAACCTTGAGATGACGATTTTCCCTAGCATTCTGGCTCCACCTCAAAAGAAGACTACATGCTCATTAGCTTTCTCCCTTCCCACTTATCCTATCTGCTTGATTATCTATCAGTGGCCAGGGTTCAGCGGGGCAGTAAGGCACACACAAGGCAAGGCTGCCCTCTGGTGACCAAGAGGAAAAATCACCCTAGGAAAAACCACATCTGTATCCCAAATCTTTGGGGCTAGATAACTTTGAAATGCGAATTGGTTTGGCTTTTTGGGAAATAGAACAAATACTGTATAGTCCCTAGTATGGAGGGGAAAAAACTCATAAAAGACATGAGCAATTCTACAACAAATACACTAAGAGGAATACGTATGATTAGCAATAGTGTCACATCAGTATAGGCTCAGCTCAGGTTTTGAAATGAGTTATGAAAACACTTGGTTTTCAGAGCCCTGGGTCTTTGGAAATGAAATCTATCTTCCTCTATTAGGGGGAAATACAGCCTCAGGAGCCATGTCTCTGCAACTCCATAGAAACACAGGTTTCTTTGTTCTTAACACTATACTCTAGGCCGTGTGCCAGTGACCTGTAATCCTAGCGACTTGGGAGGTGAACTTAGGAGGATCACGGTTTGAGGCCAGCCTGGGCAAATACTTCACCAGACCCCCATCTCCAAAATAACCAGAGCAAAACGGATTGGAGGTGTGGCTCAAGAGGTAGAGCACCTGCTTTGCAAGCACGAAGCCCTGAGTTCAAACCCCAGTACCACCAAAAAAAAACCCCTGCACTCTAGCCAGGCACCAGTGGCTCACACTTATAATCCTAGCTACTCAGGAGGCAGATAGCAAGAGGATCACAGTTCGAAGCCATCCTGGGCAAACAGTTGGTGAGACCCTATCTCAAAAATACCCATCACAAAAAGGGCTGGTGGAGTGGTTCAAGGTGAAGGCCCTGAGTTCAAGCCCCAGTACCAAAAAAACCCCAAGCCAAAACAAACAAAACCCTGCACTCTTCCTTCTCCCAAAGAAAACTGGACAAAAAGATCAGAACTAGGTTTGTTATTCATACGTTTGCATTGATTTAAATACATTACATACAATTCCTACAGTGCATTAGAAGATGGATGGGGGGCAGCAGCACTCAGCCCAGCCTCTACTCCCTGACATGGGGACAGGCCTAAGGCTGGTAGGACGGCTGTTCCAGAAGTGCTGCCCAGAAGCCTGCCCTGGCACTCTGGGCCTCTGGCTCTCCCAAAGTCCACATTCAAGGCAATCTGAGTACAAGTTTCAAGGGAAAAAGGAGAACGGCCAGAAAAGGGCACCCTGTACTCTTGCCTGCCAGGATTGGCTCCCCCTTAATTGGACCCAATTTCTTCCTGGTCACAGAGCTGGTCTGGAGCAGGACAGTGCACATGAGGCTGGTGAAGCCCAGGCTCCTCTTCAGGCAACTCTGGCTCTCCTAAGCACCTCGATGGGGAGCCTTGCCAATAGGTTCACTTGAAGATGTCTGTGAAGACCGACACACACGTGAGCCCCTGATGGCTTGTGTGGTCAAGAGGCAGGTATTCTCTCAAACATAGTTCTCCAAGCCAGAGTCCAGGTGGGCTAGACAGGACTGTCAAGAAAAGGGCAGGACAGGGCAGGCAGAGGAGTGATGCCTTTGTCTGCAGGGCATGCATATCCAGCGTTCAGACTTCCTGTCAACCTGGTGGAAGCCCAAGACAAACTGGCTCCTGGACTGTAGTGGACGGAGAGCAACCTGGCCGAGCTAACAGGAGGTTCTGCACATCTCTGCTGTCTCTTGGATGGTGGGAGGCGGACAGGTAGAGGAGACACACAGTCATAGTCCTCACTCCCTTCTTTGGTTGTTTTTCAAACTTTCAAGATAGTTTCATTCCAAGGCTGATTGACCAATCGCAGGATGTGAGAATCACAAGTGTCCACAGCACAGGGCATGAACACAGCTGCCCTTCAGCCAGAGGTGGCACACTTTTTACTCCCTCCTGAGGCCATTCTTTGCTTTGGTGTAGAAAGGACTCACACATTTGGCAAAGGGGGCAGCTGGGAGAAGACACATGGAAACAAAAAGATGCATACTGACCTGGGCGCAGGCACTGGGAGACAGTTTGAAGGCCTCTCCTTTGAGCCCTGTCTTTCTCAAAAAGTCATGGAGAAACCATGACCTTTGCCAGGAAGCAAAGGGAAATGCCAATTAGGAGGCAGAACAAGTCGTATTGCTTCCACAAGCCATAGTGATAGCAATAAAGAAGTCTGAGGACCTGATATCCTGGCCTCTAAGGAGCTCACTTATCCCAGAAATCCTCTAGAGACCCACTCCAGAACCTAAACTGAGTTGGAACTAAGTCAAGAGTTGGTGGAAAAGAAAAGAAAAGAAAAATAACAGAAATATATTACAGAAGGGCTGGGACTAAGGATTCAGGAAGTGAAGCTGGGATAGTTCACTCTTGGACCTCTCAGCATCCAGAACACCCACATGAATCACCTCTACAGGCTGGGCATCAACTTCCTATTAAAACAAAAACACTAAGGCTAGTGCTAGTCTCTCCTGCCTCTGCTTGACTGACAGGCAAGCTGCAGCAGGGCAGAGAGCAGAGAAGCTCATGTACAGAGCTGCTGGAAGGTACAGAACAAAAGCCTGCCCTCCACAAGAAGCCAGTACTGCACTGGTAGAAAGGAAAAATTTGGCAAAACCAAAAGCAAAGGTGTGTCTTCTGTCTGTGCCAGCATTGAGATCCATCAGTGACTCTCTGACACAGTCTTGGTTCATGGGAATAAGCAACTGTCAGGCATCCCAACATCTGGGTCTATGCAAATTTAGGTCTGGATTAAAGGCTTCTGACATGAGAGGATCTGGATTCTGCTACAAGCATTGAAATTTGTTTTTGATAGTTTTTTTTTTTTTTCCTTTCTTTCTGATGCAGAATATAATAGGGAATTGCAATGGAGCAGGGTGTCAGGGACTTTCCCAGCCTGCCACCAGGAGCTGCTGCAAGGGAGTTGGTCCTCAGCAGCCACCTGGACTCCTTGCGTGGAACTCCAGCCTCCCCAGCACTGGGAAGGGCCCAGGAGCACTCTTGTCCCTGATTGTGCTTCTCCCTGTGGGTGGGAAAGCCCTGAGGGAGGTGGTGAGCAGAGACAGAGGGCTCTGAAAGGTACTGCTGTCCACAGGCTTCTCTGGCTTCCTCCCAGGCTCTGCCTCATGCAGGATTTCCTCTGCCTGCCTCTAGGGCTACCACCATGAAAAGAAAGGCTTCCGACTCTGAAAGCTCTGTGTGTAGGACTCGCTGGAAGATCGCTGGTGAGAACGGGCCGTTTCCACAATCACAGGAGGCATCTGGACTAGGTGCAGGGGACTCTTGTTGTCTTTCAGGGCCTGGGTCAGATTTAGGATCTGCAGTAGGAAAAAGGAGAAGGGTGAGGAAAAGGCCTGGGATTCCCAAGTCTGTATCCACAGGGAGGCCAGCAGACAGAGCCCTCCTACAATCAATAACAAACAAACACGAATGGAAAATCACATTAGCAGGCTATTTACAAAAGTAAGAATACAAATGGGCAGTAAATGGAAAATGGAAACCTCTCATCATTATAAAAATACAAATGAGAAGCTGGGTGCACTGGCATACACCTGTACGGTGCACTGGCATATACCTGTACTTCCAGATGAGGCAGGAGGATCACGTGAACTCAGGAGTTCAAGACCAGCCTGGGAAACATAGTGAGGCCCTGTCTCAAACAACAGAAAAATGAAAACAAACACCTATACCTATCTTTTACTCTTTAGGTTCCAGAAAGAAGATGACCTCAGAGCTCAAAGAAACAGGCACCCTCCTGCATGGCAGTGAGGCAATCTTTTAGACAAGTCAGCTGACAATGAAATAAAAAATGAACAACCCTCTTACTGAGCAATTCCTTTTTTAAAAAAAATGTTGGTGGTGCTAGGGTTCAAATCAGGGCCTTGCACATGCTAGCAAAGTGCTCTACCACTGAGCTACACCCTCAGACCTAGCAATTCCATCTGTAAGGACTAGGGGAACATCATGGATATGTACAAAATATTTAGTTAAAAAAATACAATGCAAGCCAGGTGACAGTGCCTCACACCTGTATCCTAGCTACTTAGGAGGCTGAGATTAGAAGGATCAAAGTTCAAGGCCAGCCAGGGAAAATAGTTCTAGAGACCCCCATCTCTAACCAGAGCAAAATGGGCTGGAAGTGTGGTTCAAACAGTAGAGCACCTACTTTGCAAGTACGAAGCCCTGAATTCAAACCTCAGTCCTGCCAAAAATGAAAAAAAAAAAAAAAAAAAAGATACAATGTAGTATTGTTTATAACACTGAAAATAATGTAAATTAGTTAATAATTTAAGAGATAAGAAACAAGCAATTAAAATAGGTAGAGGGCCAGGCATAGTGGCTCATGCCTATAATCCCAGCACTTAGGAGGCTAAGGCAGGCAGACCAAGAGTTGGAATGCCAGCCTGGGCTACACAGTGAGTTTGAGGCCAGCCTGAGCTACATACCAAGGCCCTGTCTCAAAAATCAACAACAACAAAAAAAAAGGTGAGGCACAGTGGCTCATATGTGTAATCCCAACTACTAGGGAGGCAGAGAGCAGGAAAATCATGGTTTAAGGCCGCCTGGGGAAAAACAGCTAGCAAGATCCCATCTCAGTTCATAAGCTGAGTGTGGTGACACAGGTCTGTTATCCCAGCTATGCAGAATGCATAAGTAAAGAGGATCAAGATCCGAGGCTGGCCCTGGGGAAAAACTTAAGACCTTACCTGAAAAATAATTAAAGCAAAAAAGGGCTGGGAGCAGGGTTTAAATGACAGAGCACCTGCCTAGCAAGCATGAAGTTCTGAGTTCAAACCCCTCTACCACACACACACACACACACACACACACACACACACAGATATTTTTCTTCCCCAGAGCCTCACATATGCTAGGGAAGCACTCTTATCACTGAGATACACCCCCAGTCTTCATTCTTTTTTTCTTTCAAGAAGAAAGTTTTTTTTTAACAGAAAAGTTGCAAAGACATGCTATTGCCTCAGCTAAGTAGATAGGTTTGTAAACCTCTTCTCCTTGTTCTATGTCAGATTTCTGTAGGGTAGAAGCTTATTTGGCTTTGGTATATGAGTGGGAGAGAGCACACTGGAGAAAGTGGATACTTACGGGACCTTAAGGTGTTAAAAGTATGCACTATAGGTTACGTGGGACTTGCTTAAAACCAAACAGTCTGCTTTTTTTTTTTTTTTTCACTGACATTTCTTTAAATGTGGTGTGGGGATGAACCCAGAACCCTGAACATGTTAAAGTGCAGACTTTACCACTGAGCTACATCCCCAGGCCCTGACTTTTTTTTTAACCCCCCAAAACAGGGTCTTGTTACATAGTGCAGGCTGGCCTTGAATTCATGAACCCTCTGCTTCTGCCTCCTGAGTGCTGGGATTCCAGGCATGCACCACCACGCCTGACTCTGTCATTTTGGAGGGTGAATTGGCTAAGCATGCATGACTAAGCAAACTCTGATTCTGCAAGAGTCAGGCAAGGATGAGACAGTCTGCTGGCTGCCATGATACAGCCATACCCCGAGATCATTTATCATTTACCTGCAGAAAGTTTCAAAACAAGTGATGTAAGATCAGACAATTTCTCTGCTTGATTCCTTAAAAATTTCCCCTCCACTGTCCCTTACCAGAACACATCTTAGGAACACCCTTGGTTGTGTGCTCAAACTGAGATTCCTACTCTCAAAAAATACTTCCTTTGCTTGTATTATTGCATGGTGCTTTTTCAGCCAAAAGCCCTTCCAAAGATAATAAGAGCACAAGATACAAAGAATGCACTCCCTCAACCCTCTCCTACTTTTTGCCACCCTGGACAATGGCCCTAATTGGGTATAATGGGAAAAAGGTTGGTATGGTGGCATGGGACTGAGTAGAGGAAGGACTGTGATATGAACAGGACACCATCTGTATAAGCTTAGGAATCAAGCTGATTCCTTTATATTGAGTTCTGTAATGCCAGAATATAGCATGTGACTTTTAAGGTTTCCAAAAACTATAATAGAAGCAGTTCTTAAAACCTGACAATACCATTTCCAGGGAAAATGGGTTCAGCAAGCCTAAGAAGTGCTCTCACCAGGAGCTTTTAGTAACTGGTAGAAAAAAGAAAATGTGTTAATTATGGTTGGGAAGGCCACTCTGTCCTTTAAAGATGCAAAAAGTTGACTTTTCTATATACAAAATTATAATCCTAATAGTTATTAAGTACTAAGTACTTACTTTGATATACCAGGTACTACCCCAACTGTTTCGAGTAATTTATCTCATAATAATCCTATTAAGCAGGTACTGTTTCAAGATACAAATGGAGAAATGAAGGGAAGGAGAAGTCAAGTAACTTGCTTAAGAGCTGGGCATGGTGATTCTGGTCTATAATCCCAGCTCTCAGGAGGGTGAAGCAGGAGGGTCTCGAGTTCAAGGCCAGCCCAAGACCTCATAGGTAGTAAATGGCAAAGCCAGGCTTTAAACCCAGGTACTCCCATCAACTCATGCACTTAACCTCTATGCCATCCCAGTTCTCTTCAAGACTTCAAATTGATATACTTGTGGCCAGTGCCCTACAGAGTTTCTGAACCATTCTCTAAGCATATTCTTCTGTTTTTAATTTTTTATTTCTTTTGACACAGGGTCTCTCACTATGTAGTCCATAGTGAACTTGTCATCCTCTGGCTTCAGCCTGGGATTACAGTCATATACCACCATGCCTAGCTATAGCAGTAATATTTTCCCTCCCTCCCTCCCTTCAGTCCTCCCTTCCTCCCTTCCTTCCTCCCTCCCTTCCTTTTTGTTTTCCCCTTGCAATGCTAAGGATCAAACCCACAGCCTTGAGCACGTGTATCACTGAACTATATATCCCCAATCTTCTCCAAGCATATTCTTTACTATGCTTTGGAGTATTGACAATGTTCTGGGTATCTGCGGTTCTCTGGGAAGGTGAAATGGAAGAAGGAATAATACAACTTTTAACTTAGACAATAAAATTATAAACATACTCAATGTCAGAGTGCTTCCCATGGCCAGGCATTATTTTTTATTTAACACTTGGTATGTGCTATTTCAGGCAATCTTCCTGCCAACAGTGCAAAGTATCGCTACTGACCTATTATAAAAAAGAAAACAGAGGATGCTTTTGCCCAAGGTCACACAGCTTGTAACTGGTGAGGCTGTTTGACTGCAGAGCCCAGCTCATAACCACCAAGGCACTTAGCATGCCTTCAGTAAACTAAGGATGGAGTGTGCTGGTTTATTCATCATAACATATCTAGCAACTGGCACATAGAAAAGCATGCAGTAAGTGCTTTACAAAGCACTGGATACCATGGAAAAGACTGGAGACAGGAAAAGGCTACCTTCCCTCTCCCATGTTTTAGGGCAGAGTCACAGACAGGTATGGCACAGACTAAAAAGGGTATAAAACACAAGCTTTATCCATCTAATCAACATGAGCACATAATGCTCTCAGATCTTGAAAAGACACCTGGAGAATGTCCCAAGCTTACCTGTCCCCGCATGACAGCAATCTGTTTATGGAATTGGCCCCTGTCGAAACCAGGATCTTTCTGCAAAAGGAGGCCAGAAGGAGGTGAGATCTGTGTGAATGCCTCACCGCACCCATTTTCTCCTCCCACTTAGGAACTTTCTAATAAAGAAAGCCTATGGTAAGGCTTATGGGTTTGGTGAAGTCAACTAGTACCCTAAGAACTTCCCCTTTTACAGATGGGAAAACAGAAAACAAGAGAGTATCTTATTTTCCATCTCCAACTCTGTGTTCTAGGATTCCATGTGAAAATGAGAGCTCTAAGGACATGGTGCAACCACATGACACACAGGATACACACCAGTATGATCTATCACAGCAGCCTTATTTTTTTATTTTTTAGTTTTTGGTGGGACTGGGGTTTGAACTCAGGGTTTCCCACTTGCAAAGCAAGCACTCTACTGCTTGAACCATACCTCCAGTCCATTTTTTTGCTCTGGTTATTTTGGAGATGGGGGAGGGTCTCACAAACTATTTGCCTGGGCTGGCAGACCTCGGTCTCCCAGTAGCTAAGATTACAGATATGAGCCACTGGTACCTGGCACAGCTGCCATTTTCTCAAACCCATTTAAACCAAGTTCTGCTGGCCATGTGTGGAAACCTTGCTCTTCAATGGCTAACTCAAGTCAGACATGTTTAGCCATTCCCTCTTAGCTTCTTTCAGGACAAATTAGAAAAACCATTAGGAATGCCTATGGTATCAGGCTGAGGTTCCAAGGGCTAACCTTGAAGAGTTCATAGAGGTCCTCCTCCAAGTCCTTGACGAAGTTAGGGTCCGATATCTTTGGAAGAATCAGATCTTTGATCTCTTGAGAGAATGGGACTTTTGCCTGGGGCAACCAGGCCCAGTAGAAAGGATCTAAAAAGAGGAAAGGCCAAAAGCAAAGCTGGTCCCTGCTCATCTGTGTCTTCTACCTGTTAGGGCACTTTTTTCTTCCTTGATATACAATAGGAAAACAAACAACAACAAGAAATCCTTGCAAGTGCTGTTAATAAACAACTAGTAAGTGAAGGAGCCAGAATTCAAAAACAGATCTCTAATCCCAGAGCACTTTACCAGATGTTTCTTGACCTTCGAAGATGCAAGCCTACCCAGAAGCAATTACATGCCACTGAGACACTGAAATGGTATTTCTGAAAATGAAGACTAATGCTGCAAAGGGAACTAGGGACTCCCTACTTTTTTTTCTCAACCTTTCTAAAAGTTTCTCAGTTATAATAGGATAAGGTTATTAATAAGACGGACAGTGGTCATAGCAGCTTATGTGCAGAGACACAAACAGAATAAATTATGAAGATAGTCCTCAGAAAGAATGAGAAGAATGCAAAGTAAAGAGGAGAAAACTCATCTTTACACTTTAATTTCCCTCCTCCTCCTCCTCCTCCAACTCCTCCTCCTCCTCCTCCTCCCTCTTCTCCTTTTCAGTGCTAGGGATCAAACACTCACACACGCTAGGCAAGCACTCCACTACTGAGCTACAGCCCAAGGCCCCCTCTTCTTCTAATTTCAAATTATTCATATGCCTCCAATTGGAAGAATAGGTGGTAGAAATTATAGTAGTTTACGTTATTGAATAGTTGACATGCTGGCTATTGCGTTCAAGGCCTGAGCTTCAATATTTCATTAATTCCCAGAACAATTCTATAGAGACATAATGAGACAACGGGAGCTGAGCAGAAGCAGAGCCAGACCAGTCGTCTTGAGACTTACATGCCCTCCAGGAGTCAGGATGCTTCAGTGGGAAAGCCAACCCATTGTCTATGGCAGCCACCTTGATAACAGGCTCCTTCACCACCACCCAGTCAGTGTCCTGCAGATCAAGGAGACATTGATTGCCAAGAGAGCTCATATTTGCCTTGGGTCCTTTACAGTAGTAGCAAAGCAACCCATCTCACCCCCCTCAGACTCCAATCCTTCTTTATCTTATTTGCAGCTACCCCCTGAACTGGTTTCCGTATTGTTATCTAAACCTAGTACACTTGTGGCACCTCTGACCTGTCTTGTACAAGGTTCTCAGATCCCTTTCTTTTCTTTTCCTTTTTGTTGAGATGGGGGTCTCGCTATGTTGCCCAGGCTGGCCTTGAACTCACGATCCTCCTGCCTCAGCCTCCTGAGCGCTGGGATTACAGGTGTGTACCACCATGCCCGGCCAGTCGCTTTCTTATCATGGAAAAGGTGCACTTCCCCAGGACTTGCCAGCCCTTGCTAAGAAGGATAATGACAAAAACAAAGATAACTATAAGTTATTCTTCCTAGGGAAAGGCAACAAGAATCCTGAGAATAGAAAAGAAGAAAGAAAAATCCACATCAGCTGGCCAAGGTCATTTTGTGTGGACCTTGACTCAGATGCTACTTCTGAGTCAAGATGGGGATGACAATGATGACCACATCTTCCAGTGAGAAAACAGAATCGAAGAAGTCAAGTTTGCTGCTCTTACCCAAGGGAGTCTGTTCTGCTTCAGTGAGACAAGAAGGAAAAGGACAAGAGCTGAATGGAAAGAGTGGGCAGGTCACTTGTGACAGCCCATGACAGAGACACTCAAGTCTATCTATGTGACTCCATGCTTCTTTCAGGTTCACTGATGCCTTCACAGGAACAGGGATTATGGTTCCAGGACACCTACATCAGAATCCCCTAGAATCTGTTATTTTAAAAAGTGTGGAATCCTATATTTTCCTCCAGACCTGATGAATTAATTTCTGGGGGAAAGAACTCTGTACTACGTTTTTTAGTTTGTATTTATTTGCTTGCAATGCTGGGGATCAAACTCAGAGCCTCACACATGCTAGGCAAGTGCTCTACCACTGATGCACAACTTTTCTGATGACTCAGGCACAAATATTGAGAGCCATTCCTTTTTTTTTTTTTTTGTGAGACTGGGGTTTGACTCAGGACTTCACACTTGCAAAACAGGCATTCTACTGTTTGAGCCATACCTCCAGTAAACTGAAAGCCATTCTTAAAGAAAGAAGTAAGATCACTACAAGAAATAAAAACTTGGGCTAAAGTTATAGCTCTAGGATACTATGATAAGACTGCTTGCCTGGCATGCGCAAAGCCCTGGATGCTATCCCCCGGGCAGGGAGAAAAAAAAAGAAAAAGAAATCAAAACCAGGTTCAGTCTCCTTCAAGAAGCCTTCCTATTACTTTTAAAAGATATTCAAGAGCCAGACATGGTGGCACACACCTATTAACCCCAGCACTCAGGAGGCTGAGGCAAGAGAATTGTGAGTTTGAGGCCAGCCTGGGCCTACACACCAAGACCTTGTCTCAAAAAACAAAACAAAACAAAAACAAAAACAAAAGACATGCAGCAGCAGTGACAGAGAAGAGTGGTAGAGAGGATGAGAGGAATGGGAGAGTAAGAAAGTTACAGGAGCAATTTTCTCTAACTTGCATTCTATGGAATTGTAGTCTGTTGTGAAAGTATCCCCTGCTTAAAAAAGTGTAGAAATTCTGGTCCGAATGAAATTAAACAGGTTCACTTAATGTAGTACTTCTGACCTTTACTATACTACTGCAATGTAAAACACAAAGGAACAGAGACAGAATAAGTTCTAAACTTACTTGACCCTCTTACTGACATCAGTCAGTACAATGTTCCTTAAAACACATTGAGGAAAAACTAGGCCAAATACTAACCTGTTAATTTTAAACCTTTGTGCTTCCCTGATTCTTCTGATTTTATGTGACCTAAATCTGACCATTTTGTGTTTCTAAACTACAAGGACACTCCTTCTAACCCTTCTTCCTTGAGATAGAGACCAACCTCTTACCCGAGAGCTAGAACTATCCATTGGACAATCATATTTAATCAGCCAGTTGTCGTTGCCTCGATCTGTGAACAGAAATATTAAGTTAGCAAAAATAATGAGGGTGACTTTCAATTTTAGTAATGGTGTACTGTGTCTTGGGCACTTCGATCAATCCTTCTATTGAGAACAACTACAAAAATTTTAAAAACTCTGGAAGTCACTGACAAATTTAATAAGACCATAAGACTATAAGAGTCACAATCTGCCAGAGAAAGAAAATCCACAGGAAGGATCCCAGTATTTGTGGTTTCTTTCCCCTTTAGAGCATCTGCAGATTTGGGAAGAAGTGGCTAGAAGTGGAACTGTGGTAAGAAGTGGAACCGTGTTCTAATAGTCTTGTGGAGGTAGACAGACAAAAATTGCAATATAGTCACTGATAAAGGAGAGGAGTCCTTGCTTTGGGTGAGACCTAAAGGACTATACCTGGAAGTAAGCCAAATGCCCCCTCCATCAAAGTGATCGTGGGTTGCTAGTGTCCTAGCTGCTTGCCAAAAGCAAAGTTCACTCTCCAGACATGATTTGTAGCAGCATCCTAGACCTTCAAATATTTCCATAGTTTCTGATGGAAAGTAGCTGATGACCAAAATAGCCAGTGCTGGGAATCAAACCAGGGCCTAGCATATGATAAGCAAATGCTATACCACTGAGCTACATCCCCAGCCCCATGAGAATTCCTTATAATGTTCAAGATAAAAACAAGATCTATAAACAATGGAAATTCTAGAACTGAAAACACATAATTAAATTAAAATTCAACACAGAAGGTAAGTTTAATAGCAGATCATGCAAAAGAGAGAGAGGGCGATTTGGAAGACAGCTCTTAAGAAAATAACCAGAATGAATCACACAGGAAAAACGAATATATATATATATATCCATATATATATATATATATATATATATATATCCACATATATATATATATATGGATGTATCTAATAGCATACATTTGGAATCCCAGGAGGGAAGAAAAATAGGGCAAAACTGATTTTTTTTTTTTTGGTGTACTAGGGTTTGAACTCAGTTTCTTGTGTTTGTTAGGCACGTTCTCTGCCACCTGAGCCACACTCTCAGTCCTCAAAGTTAGTGTTTAAATGGATAATATCTGACACTTTTCCAAAACTGACAAAATACATTAAAATATAGATTTAAGGAGCCCTGTGAATCCCTAAATAGAATAAATACAAAGGAAACCATATATAGGCATATCATAGTGAAAACACTGAAAGCCAAAGGCAGGGAAAAATCTTTTTTTCTTTTCTTTGGCAGTGCTTATACTTGATAAGCTGGCACTCTATCGCTTAGCCCTCTGCCAACCTTTTTTGGTTTTGGGGTTTTTTTTTTGTTGTTTTGGGGGGGTTTTTTGGCAGTACTGAGGTTTGAACTCAGGACCTCACCTCACACTGGCTAGGCAGGCACTCCACCACTTGAGCCATTCTGTTTGCACTTTTTTATATTGGGTATTTTCAAGATCAGTTCTCATGAACTAGTTGCCTGGGCCATTTAGTGCCACATCATTGTAAAACTTAGGTAAGAATGGACAGATATAAAATAAATATGTAAAAGTTTGAGGCATAATAAGATACTTAGTCACAAACTATGTAAAGGGATGATCCCCACACAAAGTGACAAACAGTAACTTTACAACAGAGGAAACCTAACAGATAACACAAGTGACCAAAATTAGTATCACCAGTAATGGGATATTATGTGTTTTCTGATATGATGCTCCAAGAATATTAACACCACTTTATAGGATTACAACCCAAAAATGCATGACCCAAAACAGTCATGAGGAAACACAGAAACCCAAATTGAGCAACATTCTAAAAATTACTTGCCTCTACTTTTCAAAAATTTCATGCCATGCAAGATTGAGAAACTATTCCAGATTGAAGAAAAAAATAAGAGTTAATAACTGAATGTAACATGTGATCCAGAATTTTATTTTGTAATGAAGGACATTACAAGGAAAACTGGCAAAATCTGAACATGCACTACAGATTAGATAATAGCATTCCTGGATTTTTTTTATAGCTACACTATCAAATAAGAGAATGTCCTTGAATTTAGGAAATAAATACATGGAATTACTTAGGGATAAGGAAGCAGCAAGTCTGCAACTTAATTTAAGATGGCTCAGGAAAAAAGTAAGTATAGGGAGAGAGATTAATAAAGCAAATATGATAAACTGTTAACATTTAGGGAATCTGAGTAAAGAGCGTATGGGAAATTCTTTCTTTTTTTTGTAGTGCTGGGAATCAAACCCAGGGCCTAGCATATGATAAGCAAATGCTATACCACTGAGCTACATCCCCAGCCCCATGAGAATTGTTTATACCATCCTTGCAATACTTCTGTTAATCTAAAATTATGTCAAAATTAGAAGTTCCTTGCCGGGCGCTGGCGCTGGTGGCTCATGCCTGTAATCCTAGCTACTCAGGAGGCTGAGGTCAGAATTGCCATTCAAAGTCAGCAGGAGCAATTAGTTCTCAAGATCCTATCTCTAAAAACCCCATCACAAAAAAGGGCTGGTGGAGCGGCTCAAGGTGTAAACCCTGAGTTCAAACCCCAGTATCAAAAAAAAAAAAAAAAAAAATTCAAATCTAAATTTAATCAAGTCTTCAGACCTAGCAATTAATTTAAAGGAAACACAGGGATTGGCGAGTACCTGATGCATAACATGGAAATTCTATAGGGCAAATACCCAGTTTAATCAACAAATTTAAAGACAAGAAAGAAAAAAGAAAGACATAGATCATTTTCCCAAATTAAAAGCAGTTAAGGAACGTATTAGCCAAATTTAGTATGTGGGCCTTGTTTATCATGACTCAACAAATCAACTACTAAAACCAATTTTTTCAAGACAACCAGAGTAATGTTAACACACACAGTGTTTTATAGGACATTATATAGTGATTTTACTAAAAATGTCATAAAATCCTAGCATGATAACCGAAGAGAAACAAAGCTCTAATTTTATAGTTTCACTGTTTGCCTGTGTCACTTGCATGCTGACTTCTTTTTCTTATTTTAATTATTCTTCAAAGGAATGTGCACAGGAAAGTCTAGGCCAGTCACAGTACATCTAACAGACATATACAGAACACTTCCCAACAGCAGGACACATGCCAGGCATAGGTGGCTCACGCATGTAATCCTAGCTACTTGGGAGGCAGAGATCAGAAGGACTGCAATTCAAAGCCAGCCCAGGCAAAAAGTTCATGAGACCCTGTCTCAAAAAAAACCTATCACAAAAAAGGCTCAAGGTATAGGCCCTAAGTTCCAACCCCAGTGCCAGAACAACAACAACAACAAAAACAGCACACATTCTTCTCATTGCAATGGTACATTTTCTAGGATAGACCACAAGTAAGGCCACAAATTAAATCTCAGTAGATTTCAAAAGACAGATAATATACAAAGTACAGCAGATTTCCCCTATTCAAACTCTCAGTGGATGCCTAAAACTAGAGGACCAAACCCTACATGTGCTGTTTTTTTCCTATAGATACATACTATGATAAACTTTCACCTTTTCACTTAAAGGTGAAATTTGGGGCCATTATTCAATAAAATAAGGGTTACTGAACACAAGTACTATGATACCATTACAGTTGACCTAACAGCCAAGATAACTAAGTGACTAATAGGTAATATATACAGAGTAGATATACTGGACAAAGCCATGATTCATGCCAGAGGTGAGATGGCATGAACTTTTATGCTGCTCAGAATGGCATAAAATTTAAAATTTATGAATTATTTGTTTCTGGAACTTTCCATTTAGTATTTTCAGACAACAATTGACCACAGAAACCAAGAACCATGAATAAGGGGGGAGTATTACATGGAATGAATTTAGCAATCAATACAATCAATAAACAAAAGGAAAACTGGAAAATTCACAAATCTGTATATTTAAACAACACACTCTTAAATCAAGGGATGAAAGAAAAATCACAAGAAAGATAGGAAAATATTTGAGAGAAATGGTAACAAACATGCAACATCTCCAAACTTACTGACTTAGCAAAAGCAGTGCTTGGTGTGAAATTCAGAACTATAAATGTTTACATTGCAAAATGAGAAAGCACAAAAATCAACACCTAACTTTACCTCTAAAGGAACTAGAAAAAGAAAAAACTGAACCCAAAGCTAACAGAAGAAATAATAAATAATAGAACAAAGGTAAACAAAATAGAGAAGAGACAATACAGAAAAACAACAAAACTAAGTGCTGGTCTTTTAAAAGTTCAATAAAATTAAAAAATCTTTACAGAAATAAAAAGAATTTAACACTATAAACAATTATATGCCAACAAATGGATAACCTAGATGAAATTAATTAATTTCTAGAAGCACAAAACCTACCAAGATCAAACCACAAATAAATAGAAAATATCAACAGACTTATACTAGTAAGGAGCTTGATTCAGTACTCAAAATCATCATCCAGTTGGCTTGCCGGATACGGGGAGAGAGAGCTTAAGTGAAGGCAGTTTTTATGGCGTTTTGTAGTAAATTCTGTAAAATACTTTGGTTTAATTTGTGACTTTTTTTGTAAGAAATTGTTTATAATATGTTGCATTTGTACTTAAGTCATTCCATCTTTCACTCAGGATGAATGTGAAAAGTGACTGTTCACAGACCTCAGTGATGTGAGCACTGTGGCTCAGGAGTGACAAGTTGCTAATATGCAGAAGGGATGGGTGATATTTCTTGCTTCTCATGATGCATGTTTCTGTATGTTAATGACTTGTTGGGTAGCTATTAAGGTACTAGAATTGATAAATAAATGTGTACAGGGTCCTTTTGCAATAAAACTGGTTATGACTTGATCCAAGTGTTTAACAATTGGGGCTGTTAAGTCTGACCATACATCACTGTGATAGAATGTGGGCTTTTTCAAGGGTGAAGATATAAGTCTTAACCACAGTGTAACTTACAGTTTCCTTAAAAAAGAAAAAAAGTAAACCTGGCAGCTATAGAATACACTATGTGCATTTATAATAGCTATTTTATATATTGTAGTGTCAACATTTTTAAATTAAATGTTTTACATTCACAGGTGGTGGGGAGTCTTGTCATTAAGGTGTGTGTAATTAGAGTCCAGTTGGTTTTCTCCTAACTAGACTGCACTTTTCATAGTAAATTGCTATGCGTATTAATACCTTGCATAAGTCCTCATTCTACCATATGATAACTCTTTAGCTGATAATGCAAACACTAACTGGGGGATTTTATTTATAAGGGCTCTAGAATAAGTTACTTGCACCAGCATCATCTGTTACTAATATTCTAGTTAGTGCAGCTTTTCATTGTGTTGTAGTTGGTTCCATAACTAGATTGAGTTTTTTTTTCCCCCCTCCTTTATGAAAAGGAAACAATACCAAGATTCGCTCTTTCCCTTGAGAAGTTTAGTGTGACCTTGAGTGGGGGAGGAGCACTGCAGCTCCAGTTTATTGGACCTGTGCCAATTAGGGTGGTGTTGGGTTAGGTTACATCTGGTTACTGTCCTGGGAAAATTCCTTTTATAGACATGGCCTTTTAAGTTGTTTTTAAATTTATCCTTATATTGAAATTTTTAGGTAAATTATGTATGTTGACTAAATTTACAAATAAACTTCTTTATCCAAAAAAAAAAAAAAAAAAAAAAATTTCTTGCTGGACACTTGAGCACTTGAGAGGCTGAGGCAGGCGGATCTCTTCAGACCAGAGTTTAAAAACAGCCTGGGCAACACAAAGACCTTGCTAAAGAAAAAAAAAAAAAAAGGAAACCCCAGCTACTTGGATCAGGAGAATCAAGCCCTGAGTTCAAACCCCAGTCCCACCAAAAATAAAAAAGCTTTTAAAAAAACAGCACATGGGAATGCCCCAGACCTGATGTCTTCTCTGGTAAGTTCTACCAAACATTTAAAGAACTAATATCAATCCTCCTCAAAATTATAAAAATACTGATGATGAAGAGGGAATACTCCCTAAATCAGTCTATGAGGCCAACATGATCCTCAAAATAAGGCCAGAGACACTAGAAGAAAACTGTAGACCAAGATCCCTTATGAACATTGATATAAAAATCCTGACTATACAGTATATTGAAAGGATTACAGATCATAACCAAATGGGATTTATTTGTGGAATGCAAGGATAGTTGAACATATGAAAATTCATCCAAAAAAAAAAAAACAGTTATCACACCTGATGTAGAAAAAAGCACTTGATAAAACTAACACCCTCCATGGTTAAAAAAAAAAACACTCAATAATCAGGAAGCCATCACCACAATGAAAGCCACATATTGGCTGAGCAAGGTGGTTCATACTCAGGAGGCAGAGATAGAGAGGATCCCTATTTGAGGCCAACCCAGGCAGAAAGTTGGTGAGACCCCCACCTCCTCAACCAATAAACAGGGTATGGTGGTATGCACATGTCATCCCAGCTACATAGGAAGGGTAAACAGAAGACATAAATCTAAGACCCTAGTTCAAAGATAACTACTCTACGTGCAAAGCCCTGAATTAAAAAACCCTGGAACCACAAAAAAAAAAAAAAAAGCTTGTATTAAAAACCCACAGTAACTAACCATCATACTCAATGGCAAAAGACTGAAAGGTTTTACTCTAAGATAAAAAAATGATACTAGCCAGACACTGGTGGCTCACGCCTGTAATCCTAGCAACTCAGGAGGCAGAGATCAGGAGGATCCTGGTTCCGAGCCAGCCCAGTTCTGCGAGAACCTATCTCAAAAAACCTTTCACAAAAATAGGGCTGGTTGGAGTGGCTCAAGGTGAAGACCCTGAGTTCAAGCCCCAGTACCAGGAAAAAAAAGGATACTTACTTCTATTCAACATATTACTGCAAGTCCTAGCCAAAGGAATTAGGTAAGAAAAAGAACTACTGGGAAGAAACAAGTAAACTTATCTCTAGTTGCAGATTATATGATCTCATATGAACAAAATTCTACACATTTCACAAAAAAAGTATCCTAGCAAAGTAGGATACAAGTCAAAACACAAAAATTAGTTGCATTTCTATACACTAACAATGAACAATCGTAAAATAAAACTAAGAAAACAATCCCATTTAAACAGCATCAAAAAGAATAAAATACTTAGGGATTAACTTAACAAAAGAGGTTAAAGACCTATATAATGAAATTTATACAACTTTCCTTAAAGAAATTAAAAGTACAAGGTAAGTTGAAAGACATTCTGTGTTCATGGGTTGAAAGACCTAATATCATTAGAATGTTAATGATAACTAGTCAAACTCATTTAATGCAATCTCTATCAAAATTCCAATGGTGCTTTTTTGCAGAAACAGAAAACACCATACTAAAGTTCATGAAATCTCCGGGGACCACAAACAGCCAAAACTATCCTGAAAAACAAAGCTGGAGTATTCACACTTTCTGATTTAAAAATTTGCATAAAGCAACAGTAATCAAAAAGTGTGGTACTGGCAAAGAGATGAGCATATACAATAGTTAACTAAAAATGGACCTATAATCTAAATATAAGACCTAAAACTATAAAATTCTTAGAAAAAAATAAAAGATGAGGTAAAAGCTTCGTGACACTGGATTTAGCAATGATTCTTGAATATAACACAAAAGGGACAAGTAACAAAAGAAAAAATAAGTTGCACTTTGAAAATAAAAAAATTTTGTGCATCAAAAAAATCAACAGGGATAAGGGCAAAATAGTTTCTGCTGGGTATTGAGGGGGGGAGCGGGAGGGGGTGGAGTGGGTGGTAAGGGAGGGGGTGGGGGCAGGGGGGAGAAATAAACCAAGCCTTGTATGCACATATGAATAATAAAAGAAAAATGAAAAAAAAAAAATCAACAGGGAAAAAGGCAGCAGAAAATATTAGCAAATCATATAGCTGGTAAAGGATTAATATCCAGAATATATGGGGGACTTTGAAAACTCAATGACAACAAAATGAAAGGATTCAAAATGAGCAAAGGTGCTGGCCACAGGTGGCTCATACCTGTAACCCTAGCTACTCAGGAGGCAAAGATCCAGGAGAATCTCAGTTTGAGGCTCTGGTGGTGAGAACCTATCTCAAAAATACTCAACACAAAAAGGTCTGGCAGAGTGGCTCAAGTGGTAAAGCACCTGCTAGCAAGCATGAGGCCCTGAGTTCAAACCCCAGTACCGGCAAAAAAATGAGTAACGACTTAAAACATTCAAGGAATCTTCCTTGGAGGATTCCAACTGGCTGGTAAGCACATGAAGAGATTCACTATCATTAATCATTGGGGAAATATAAATCAAAATTATAATGAGACATCATTTCACACTTATCAGGATGGCCACTATCAAAAAACTAGAAAATAGAAGGAGTCGGGGATGTAGTTCAGTGGTAGAGTACAAGCTTAGCTTGTGGGGGGGCCTGGTATCCACTCATAGTTAGGTACCTCAAAACATTAAGTGTTGACAAAGATGCAGAGAAATTGGAATCCTTGTGTACTGTTGGTGGGAACATAAAATGGTATAGCTGCTGTGGAAAACAGAATGGTAGATCCTCAAAAAAGTTACAACTAGAATTTTCATATGATCCAACAATTCTACTTCTGGGTATATACTCCAAAGAACCACAAGCAGGGTCTTAGAGAGAGATCTGTATACTCATGGCTCATAGAAGCATTATTCACACTAACTAAATGTGGAAGCAACTCAGTGTTCTCTGATGGATGAATAGGTAAGCAAGATGTGATAAACATATAAAATGGAACATTATTCCATCTTAAAAAGCAAATTTTGACACTTGCTACAAAACACAGACAAACATTGTGGGCATTACACCAAGTGAAATAAGTAATTCACAAAAAGAGACATGTATGATGCCACTTACATGAAGTACTTAAGAGTAGTCCAGGGCTGGGAGAGGGGCCAATGGAGAGGATTTTTTGTTTTGTTTTGTTTTGGTAGGATGGGATTTTAACTCAGGGCCTCACACTTTCTAGGCAGTGCTCTACCACTTGAGCCATTCCCACCAACCCAGACAGTTATTTTTTAATGGTATAGCATTTCAGTTACATAGGATGAAGAGTTCTGGAGATGGGTGGTGGTAGTGGCTGTACAACAATATGAATATCCTTAATGCCACTGAAATGTATGCTTTGAAATGGCTGAGATAGAAAATTTTATGAAAAAATATTAGAAAAAATTTATCTCCAATCAGGGATGGAATTAAAGACTTTGTCTCAAACATGTAGATTTGGGTAGACTAGGTGAGTTCAAATTATATCAGAATTTTTTTTTAATTTATGATTAAGACAAGGGCTGGCAGAATGGCTCAAGTGGTAGAGTGCCTACCTAGCAAGCATGATCCTTGATTCTAGTACTGAAAAAAAAAAGCTATTTCAAGACAAAACTGGCTGGGGATGTGGCTCAAGTGGTAGAGTACCTGTGTAGAAAAACACTAAACTGTCCTGTGGTAGGTCTTGATGCTGTAAAAATGACTAGGGATCAAGGATAAATGTATTCTCTTCATGGTGTTTCAGAAGAGCCAGGTGTCTTCTGTCTGGGACCAGGAAAGAGGCTAAGAAAAAATGCAAATACTGACTCCAGGCCTCATAACCTCTGATAACTACACATGCTGCATCTGGACAAAGCTTAACCTGGAAACGCATTCTCTGAGAGCCTCCCTAAATGTGCATGACCCTTCCAAAATAGGAAAACCTCATCCTGACAAGGCACTCTGACTCCCGATCCCTGTGAGCCTCCAGGGCTGTTCTGGGTCTCAGCACAGTCAGGCATAGGATATGGGACAACCCCGCCCCCCCAAACCCTGCTGCTCACCACAGTCAGGCATAGGATATGGGACAACCCCGCCCCCCCAAACCCTGCTGCTCACCAGTGTTGCGGATAATGTAGTCCAGCACCACCAACCGCTCAAACTGCAGCAGCAGTTGCCGGTTAGTGTTCTCAGGGAGAGGTTCTGCTTCAAAACGCCGCAGCCAGTAGTCTGCATCTTTGTAGCCTTCGACAAAGAGCTGGAATGAACCAACCTGCAACCAAGAGGAAGGAAAAAGCACTTCTCTACAGCCCAAGTCCAAAGACCCAAGGGGTAAGCCAATGACCACCTATGTAGTTCACCTATATGAACTATGACGTTCACATCAGAGAAGAGAAAGACTTGTAAGATTTTCATGCCTTCGTTTCCTTTCGTACAGGAAAAAGGGAGCATGACAAAGATTACAGTTATTCAAATGGTCCAGAGGAATAAAGTGAGAAGTTAGGTTTCTATTCTCTACAGAATTGTTCTCCACATCTTAGGCCCGTGACAGAAACAAGGAAGACAGAGCCCCAAGGCAGGCTATTCATGTGCCCATCATCAAGTTTCTAGGCACCTTTCTTCCCCACTAGAAACTATCACTTTGACAAGCCACACAGTACAGTCTATACCTTTGGTGGTAGCCCAATGCGGTTAAATCGCTGCCCAACTTTTGGCACTTTCTCTAGTGCAAGCCGCTTGCCTCTGGATTTCACTCGGTCAATGGCACTATAGTTGAAGGTTTCACTGGCCAGGTATACTACCTGTAGTAGAAACAGAGAGATACCCAGGTTAGTGTCAAGTTGTGTGTGTGGTTTTGTTGTTGTTGTTGTTGCTTTCTTTTTTTGTCCCTTTTCAATTTATTACATGGAATTACACTGGTCCAAGTTAAAAGCATATCTCAAATGGCTGTAATCAAGCTGTGACATTTTTTAATTTATGACAAGGGACAGAAGGGAAATTCTACTCATTCAAGGAAATCCTCACTTAAGCCTCAGTGAGCCACAAGCACTTAAAACACATGAATCTTCCTTAGCCAGTCTAGTCTCTACCAGGAACTGGCATATGTTCTTGTGCTGGTCACCCTGTAGCTGAATTACTTCTCCATATTTTAAGTATTCAATTACAGTAACATTGCAGGCAAATTTCTTCTTAAATAGCGTCATTAAGTTCTTTATCATCAGCAGTAGCAATCCCTTAGACAGTAGTAAGGGTCTTCCTGTCATTTCTCTGTTGAATTCTTATTGGATACAATCCTCAGTGCCAGCAAGAAGCAGGTCATACCACCTTTGTTTGCATCAGCAAAGGGGTCAATACTGAAGTCATCAGGGCTTGGATCATGTCAGACAAGTTCTTCGTTCTTCGTTGGCTCTGCCCAAACAGGTCAGACTGGGATGGCTGGCTTACCCAGGCCCAGAGAAAACCTGAGTCTCGAGCCCTAGGCTTACCTTCCCCCATAGCCAATCAGGTACTGGGAAGCCCAGGCTTGAGGGCAGAGCCCCACCTGGCTGATTTGTAACCTGCTAGAACCCTGATGCCCAAGGTGGGAGCTAGAGTCAAGTTTAAGGAATCAAATCACTATGGCAGAGTTGGTGCTCATCAATTTTGTTCCTCTCCCAGGATAGAGAGAAAGTCTTCTCAGCCTTCCTAGCAACTAGGAAAGGGAATATGGCCAGTTCAGACCAATGGAATGTTGACAAAGTGGTATATGTACATAACTTCTAAGCCTGGCCCTTAAAGCAAATTTAAGGTCAATCCTTAGTTCCTATTTCCCAATCTGTGCAGCTAGAAACGAAGGGCTCTGAGGCGGCGGAGCCACATCAGGAAGGACTCCAGATCCCTTGTGATATGAGTGACATGGAATTTAGGAGAGCTGCCAAAAAAAGACATGAGCAAGAAATAAAACTGCTGAGTGTGGTGGTACACTCCTATAATCCTAGCTACTCAGGAAGTAGAGGCAGGAGTTTGAGGCAGCCTGGGCAAAATTAGTGAGACCCTATTTCAAAAACAAAATATAAACAAAAAGGCTGGGAGCATGACTCAAGTGGTAGAGAGCTTGCTTGGCATGTGAGAAGCCCTGAGTTCAATTCCCTGTACCAAAAAAAAAAAAAAAAAAAAAAAGTCACCTCCTGGATTAGAAGAATAGGTCCAATGCTTATTTTCTTTCTAGACACAAACATAATTGTAATTTTCCTTATACTGTTTTGTTTCCTTTTTAAATTTTATACTTTGTGAAATTGTTCATATTTTTAAAAATAAACATTGGCATTTTCACTTTTAATGGAATTGTCTATATTTATGTAGAAACTGTACTGGAATACTGCACAAGAAACTAGTAACAGGAAATAATGGTCTTTGCGGGAGGAAACTAAGCAGCCAGGAGGTGAGAGTGGGAAGAAACTCAATTACTTTTCTCTGTTGACTTGTCTTCTATGCCTTCTAATTTTTGCACCCGATGTATATGTTGCCCATTGAAAACAAACTGCAATGGGCCATCACTGTCACACTTGGTTAGTGTTTTTTTCTTTTTGTTGTTGTTTTTGTTTGTTTTGTGGTACTGGAGGAACTTGCACTTGCTAGTCAGGTGCTTTACCACTTGAGCCATGACCCCAACCTACATTTGGTTGTCAAACTGCAGTGACATCATTATATAAGAATGTGTGTCACTGTCACATTTAGCACATTATACTGTGATTATCCATTCATATATCTAACTTCTCTCTTAAAACTAGTGAGATCTGGGGAGGCATTAGCACCCCCAGCATCTAACAGAATGCACAGCACATGCTCATTAGACAGCAATTAAGTGAATGAATGAATAAACTTCTTTTAAAGATGATAACAAGTGAGTTTTAGCATATGAATTTTGCTAATCAAATTTATTAAAAAACCTCTTTTCCTAAGCTTTGCAAAATTCATTACAAATAACTAGTTTGGCCATGAATCTTAGAGGCACAGCAATTCATTCCCATCTATCTTGCTCTCCCTCCATCCATATTAACAGGATTCTTAAAATGAATGTGCAAGGTACTCTAGCAGGTACTCCTTAACTTACAAATTGGAAAGCAAAGGAATGAAGAAAAAAGGACTTTCCTCAGGCTACTTTGCCAGTTTCTACTGACTCTCTCAAACCATAAAGCATCCTTTTCCTTCTATCAGATTTATTTTACATCATTCTTCCAACAAACCACTTTTTCCCCTATGAATAATGAAATGATCATCGTTTGGAACCTCAGTACAGGAATAGTCAGTAAATGAGAATTAGAATTTTACTATTTGAAGCTCCATCTCAACATAACCCCAGTTTCCATAGTGACAGATGCTCTGATTAACTGGACAGAAGCCTATCACAAGAGTAGGAGAGTCTGGGAAGGGAGAGATTACTCTTACTAATTCTCCAGCAGCTGAATGTTAGGTTGCAAAGTTCTGTCTCATCTTGGTCTCTGGAAGGCAAGTGTTTTTGCTGTTGTTGACTTTCTAATGCAAATCATCCTTGGGACTCATTAAGATTTCTAACAGGGAAAGAGGAACACCAGATATAGGGAAAAAACTAGTTTTGGGGTGACATTAAAGTTTAGAATAGTTCATAAAACTACCACAGGATACCATGTATAGAATGTTTATACTGTGCAGGCACTGGGCTTTGTGCTTTACATAGATTATCTTGTGTAATCTTGACAGTCACTCTACAAAGTGGAAGCTATTTCTATCCCTATCTTTACAGAGAGAAAACTAAGCCTAGGGTGGTGGTTAACTAGCTTGCCCATGAGTCACACAACACACAGCTACAAAGGCCAGCGTGGTAGCTCACAGGTATAATCCCAGCACTTGGGAGGCTAAGGCAGAGGATCTTGAGTTTGAGGTCAGCCTGAGCTACACAACAGTTTGAGGGCAGCTTGGGCTACATATTGAAACTTGGTCTCCCCCTCCACCAAAAAAAGGTACAGAGCAAAATTCAAACTCAAGCTTTCTGATCATCAGGCACTGCACTCCAGAAGCACCAGCAGAGCAGGCAGGCGTAGTGCTGGTACACTCTGCTATTTGCCTAGTAAAGAAAGGAAATTACAGAGTGATGAACAAAGAGTATTTAAAAGTTTCCAAAGTCAAGGAGAATTTCAGGCTAGGCAGGAGACCTAGAAACATTAATTATCATACAAGATGTGCAACGCATGCTGTTTAGCTATCTGCACACAGAGAGAAACCCACAGTGTAAAGGGAAGGAATGAGCTGCACAAACTCAGGCAGTAACATAAGCCAGTCAAACATTCTCTCTATAGACCTGAAGTTGGGGACCTTTGGTATTCCTTCTCATAATTTGATATTCATTCCCTGATTCAGTACCTAATGAAGACTTAATATACATCTAGCATGGGAGAAAGATAAATCTCAAGAAGTAGTCTCTGAGCCAAGTGCCAGTTGCTCATGCCTATAATCCTAGCTACTTGGGAGGCAGAGATCTGGAGGATTAAGGTTTGAACCCAACCCCAAATAGTTTATAAGATCCTATCTCAAAATATATACCCAATACCAAAAAGGGCTGGTAGAGTGGCTCAAGTAGTAAAGTGCCTGCCTAGCAAGCATGAGACCCTGAGTTCAAATCCAGTTCCACAGAAAAAAAAATTTAAAAAAATATGGTCTCTGACTTCTAAAAACTTACAAACTAGTTAGCCTGTTGTTTATAGAGTTTAACAGCAAAGAAGCAGAAATAGTCAAACATCCACAATAGTCAAGTTTTCTTCTAAAATACCCAAAAAAAAAACTGAAAAGAGAGATTCAAAGTGAATTTCCTCTCTGCTGATCAATCTCTTTGACCACAGAGATTGCCATCTAAACCTGTGAAGAAAACCTCAAGTAGGGTTTTTTAATCCAGGGGCATGGTCCTGAGGGAATCAACAGATGGACTTTAACCAGTCTATGAACACTCCTCCTGAAATTATATGCAAAATATTAATTGCAAATATGCCCATTTTTTCTGGAAATTAGACCTACAGCTTCTATCAGATTCTCGAGTTAAGACCCAAAGCTATGAAGATGCTTCTGCAACTTTAAGGCATCAGATCAGAGCTCCACTTAAGTTGTTACTACACCACAGGTAGCCATATACTGAGTGGGTGATGTGTCCTGAAGTGTTTGTATGCTGACCAGCATATCCTTCCTCTCACACTCCTGGAAAGTTTCATGGAGCACCCTATAGTACAGAGGTTCTTAAATTCAATAAACCTCCTGAAATTGTACATAGTCAGTTATGCCCTCAAGCATTTTTTTTTTCAAATGGGGAGGGAGAGTGTAGTACAAACCCTTCATCAGAACCTCAACTAAGTCTGTAATACACACAGATGTGTGCAAACCCATTCTATGTGTGAATTTATCTGGATCTGGTACCACTATTTTTCTTTTTTTATTTCATTTTTATTTATTTAATGAACTAACTTATTTATTTATATTGTGGTGCTGGGGATTGAACCCAGGGCCTTGTGCATGCTAGGCAACTAATCTACTACTGAGCTACATCCCAGGGTCTAGGCCACTATTCTAGCATGTTCAGACAAGTCCCAGGATTCCACAGCATAAAGGTTGGTGAGGAAAATTCCATGTCAGTTCCCTTGCTGGGGTTCAGAACAGACAGTAAAATTAATTCTCAGCCCAACTAAAGTCTTCTTTGTCAGAGTTTGCAGAAGTGCTTGCTAACATCAGTAAGTCCATTCTATGTTATATCTAAAGCCAGGCACGGTTTGTATATTCCCGTAGTCCCAGCTACTTGGGAGGCTGAGGCAGGAGGATGATTTGAGGCCAGGAGTTCAAACCCTATTTGGCAACATAGCAAAACCCTATTTATTTATTTTGCAATACTAGGATTTGAACTCAAGGCCTACACCATAAGCCATTTCACCAGCCCTTCTGTGATAGGTTTTTTCGAGATAGAGTCTTGAGAACTATTTGCCAGGGCTGGCTTTGAAACATGATCCTCCTGATTTCTGCCGCCTATGTAGCTAGGATTACAGACGTGAGTGACCAGCACTGGTCCTCACTTCTTCTCTTAAAAAAAAAAAAAAAAAAAGGAAGAAGGAGAAGGAAGGGAGAAATCAATTGTATCTAAATCTTGGCTCAGAAGTCAAGAATAGAGGGCTAGAGGTGTGCCTCAAGTGATAAGAGTGCCTGCCTAGCAAGCAGGAAGCCGAGTTCAAACCCCAGTGCCACCAAAAAAAAAAAAATCTGAGAGAGATCTAAAGTAGGTACGTTTCCAACTAGTTTGGAGTTACCTTGGGATCCAAAGACCAAGGGAGTCCATAAGCATGCATGAAGCATCTGTGAAATTCCTAAAACCACAATGAAAATTCTTATGCATGTCTTTCTGAGACTATCTTTCACTAGATGATCAAATCATGAACTTATCCTGCCACCTTCCCCTAAAGGTTGAGAATCTCAGACTTACATATCCCCCACTGCACTGAAGTCCCACTAACAGGCTACAACAAAACTCTGATCAGGCACTAAGGATCCCTGGAAATGGGTCACTAACCTTTGTACGGGGTACAATGTTGAGTTCCAGTTTTTGGTCCACCAGGCTGGCCCCTGCCTCTGAAAGATAGCCCTGATTGAGGACAAGGCAATCACGGCCAAAGCAGCAGGGACAGCACAACTTCTGCAGCCACTTGGTCCACTTAGGATTAAGGTGTCCGTATGGCTCTTCATTCTTGGGTTTGAAGACAGCAATGATCTTCTACACAGACAACAGAAAAAGAGGATGTGAAAGGTGAGTTGGGGGTCTAGGGGTGTAGCTCAGTGGTAGATTACATACTTAGCATTTGTGAGGCCCTAGATTGACTCTTCAGCATGCACACACGCACATATGCACGCGCGCATGCGCGCCACACACACACACACACACACACACACACACACACACAAATTGATTAAAGTAGCCACAGAGCAAGTCAGCAGAAATCTAAAAGGAAAACAGGGCACAGCAGATAATCCCTACCTACAGTCAGACAGAGGCTACTTCCTAGCTTGTAAAATACCAGCTAATGTGTGCAACTAAGAGACCCACTGCTACAGATGTGACCAAAGAAGAGGCCAAGTTCATTTGTCCTGGCTGCTTCACTCCTCTTACCCATCTCTCTTCTCTCATGTAAATACCTCCCTGTAACTTTGTGCTTCAAACAAACTCAGTAAATGGATTTGTACATTCTAGGCAAGATCCAGAAGCCAATATGGTGGCACATCTTGAGTCATAGGCAGCAATCTAATGCTATTACAGTAACTGCTTCCTGCCCTCCCAGAAAGGATATAATACCACCTTGCATATATTGAGAGCTCCAAAGTAATCTCCCCAAAAAATGAGGAATTAGCTTATCACAGATTATATATCATCCTTTTTTTGGCATGCATCCCTGCCAGGTTTATCCTACAGGACATTTTGGGTAGAGTGAAGTACTGTGATTTGAACTAAGGGCCTCATGCTTACCACTAAATAGAGAAGATAGCTGCACACTGAAGCCACATAGGCATTTTTCTTTCTTCTTTTTCCTGTACTGGGGCAGGTACTCTTACCACATAAGACACTCTGCCAGCCCTTTTTTGTATTGGGTTTTTTTGAGATAGATCATGGCTCAAAGCCGGCACCAGCAAATAATTTGTGAGACCCTCTCTCAAAAACATCCAACAAACGGGCTGGCGGAATGGCTCAAGTGGTAGAGCACCTGCCTAGCAAGTGTGAGACCCTGAGTTCAAACCCCAATACCGCCAAAAAAAAAAAAAAGAAAAAGAAAATACCTAGCACACACAAAAAAAGGCTAATGGAGTGACTCAAATGGTAGAGCGCCTGGGTAGCAAGTATGAGGCCCCAAGTTCAAACTCCAGTATCAAAAACAAAAACAAAACAAAACAAAAATCACAACAGGAAAAAGAATCTGCTACCTGCTTAGAATGGAGATCTTTTAAGAAATTCTGATAGGCAAGAGACCACGACATAAGACACCATGAAGATCGAATCATTCCTTTCTAGCCAACAGTGACTTAATCTTGAAAGATCCTTAGAAATATGAGTTGCCCAGAAATGGTGGCTCTTCCTTCTGAATGTTTTCTTCTGCAGGTCACTCAGCCTTTTGGGGTCGTTTTACATTTATCTCATTCCCTCCAAGCCCCAGAGTGGTAATTCAAAACAAGAAAGGCAAAACTGTTAACCAATTGATTCATCTTCCTATCATATGATTCTCCTCCCCTCAGTCCACAGCCAACTCAAGCTTCTCTTGGTCGTAAAACATTTTCCTATATCACTTCCTGAGTGGCAGGTCACAGCAAACAAACACCTATCTGCTTTCATTGAGTGAGTATATATTCATATTAGGAATTGACTAGGTTTAATCTCTAAACCTAGTCAGTCTTAAAGTTAGTTCCTTCAAAAAGTCTTCCAAGAATTCAAGAGAAATACAGAATTCTCCTTTCCAAAAAAAAATGAAAAAAACCAACCAAACAAAAAAAAATAAACTTATTTTCAACAACCAAATTTATTTATTTACTGGCAAAAAAAAAAAAAATGCAGCCAGGCACTGCTGGCTCACACTTGCAATCTTAGCTACTCATGAGGTAGAGATCAGGAGGATCTTGATCCAAAGTCAACCTGGGAAAATAGTTTGCAAGACCCTATCTTAAAAAAACCCATCATGAAAAGAGCTGGTGGAGTGGCTTAAGGTATAGGCCCTGAGTTCAAGTCCCAGTACAGGAAAAATAGTTACAAAGAAAAATATATATGTGGCTCAGTATGCAGCCATCCTCTCTGTTGGCTCCCCTGGAACTCAGCCTTTGAACATCAAAGCAGCAGGAGCAACAGGCGCACGAGGCAGAGTGTGACTGATGAGTCCACTGCAACTCTCCATCCTAAACAGTGAAACCACAGAGCAACCCAAAGTATGTCCCAGAACTCAATAGCTCATATGGGGCCCAATGTGGAGTTCAGCAAGCTGGTCTCCAATGCAAGGGAGACCAAGACATTCCAGTTACTTGCGGGAGATGAAAAATACCAGAATTCAGGTTTAAATCCACTGAAAAAAAGAAGAATTTGGGCTGGTGGCATGGTTCAAGTGACAGAGCACCCGCCTAGCAAGCACAAGGCCCTGAGTTCAACCCCTCAGTATAGGGAGAGAGGGAGGGAGGGGAATTTGAAGGTCAAAATTGCACCGAAGTATCATTTAAAGACTGACCTCTCATACTTTACCATTTCCTTCCACTATAAGGAAAGCATTTCATTGAGTCCTTAAAGGTATTCGGAATTATGGTTATCTCAGTTATACAGAAGTTTCATTAAGGAATAGTGTCAGGAGGACCAGAAGGGTGTTTGGAGATGGGGAAGACACCTGCCTTTCAGTGTAGGCCTCAGTTCAATGCAGCTCTGTTAACAATTGCTCAGGACCTGGTTTGTGCAAGCATGCAGCAAGTTTTATGTCTAGACAGACATAAAACAGCCTCTGGCCTAATTTCCAAAGCTAATGTTCACTTCATATGTTACTCAAAATCAAGAACACTCTCCTCATTCACACAGAACTCTAAAACCACTCAAATTAGAAAACCACCCACCAGTATTCAGCTGAGAAAGAAAATGCCTCATTTTTTCTCACCATCCTCTCCTCTTTAATAGACTGTTGATTCCTTTATTACATCTAAGAGAAAGTTTCAGTTTGGTGCCAATATTTTAAAAACACCTTTCCTTAACACCCACTTACTAATCTCCCCCTTTAACAAAGGGGGTGAAGTGCAGAGAGCTTCAGTAGTAGCAGTCCATGCACTTGAGGATAAAAAGAACTGCACAACAAGAAGGAACTACACACTGGCAGGTGTCTAGGATGCACAATTAATTGCTGGAACCTGGAACGTAGAGTTTCCTATAGCTAACCAGCAGTGACAAGGAGGCATCATACGATGATAAAAGAGGCACTTGAGCTGGGCACATTGTCACATACCTGTAGCTCCAGATACCAGGGAGGCTGAGGCAGAATGTTTACTTGAGCCCAGAGGTTCAAGGCCAACCCGAGTGATATAGTGAGACTGAGACCTCATCTCAAAAAAACAAAACAAGGCTACGTGTGGTGGTACACAACTATAATCTCAGCACTTGCTAAACAGCAGCAGGAGGACTGAGTTTGAGGCCAGCCTGGACTCCATAGTGAAACCCAGTCTAAAAAAAAAAAATCTCTTTTCCCCAGGAACTAAAATTTAAGACAGTAGAATTTAACCCAGTAGCACATATCTAGAATCCTAGCACCCAGAAGGCTGAGGCAGGTGGATCTCAGTTCTCTAAGACCAGCCTGAATGACAGTAAGACCATGTCCCAAAAAACAGTTCAAGCACATCATCATATTGCACAGTGAAATACCCAGAAGTGACCTTTAATAAAAGTGTTCTTTTGTGCCAGGCGCTGGTGGCTTATACCTATAATCCTAGCTACTTAGGAGGCAGAGATCTGGAGGATCGTGGTTCAAAGCCAGCCCAGGCAAATACTTTGTGAGACCCTATCTCATAAATACCTAACACAAAAAAAAGGGCTGGTAGAGTGGCTCAAGGTGTAGGCCCCAAGTTCAAGTACCAGCGCCACAATAAAAAAAAAAAAAAGAAAAAAAAAATCCCAAAAACGGTTGGTGGAGTGACTCAAGATATAAGCCCTGAGTTCAAACCTCATCACATACACAAAAAAATTCTTTTAAGTTTGGTGAACATGAAGTGGATATTTTTCCAAACTTGGTCTCAAGATTACATTAAATTCTTAGCAGGTGCAGTAGCTCACATCTGTAATCCCAGCTACTTGGCAGGCAGAGATCAGGAAGATCACAGAGCCCAGCCCTGGGAAAAAACTTAGCAAGACCCCAATCTCAATCAAACCAGGAGTGGTGTCCACAATCCAAATTATATGGATATAAGAGAGGTGGGAGGTAGGAGGATCAAGGTCTGGGGCATGGCTTGAGCATGGCTCACGTGGTAGAGCACTTGCCTAGTAAGTGGGAAGCCCTGAGTTGAAATCCCAGTACCAAGAAAAAAAAAGTTCCTTTAAAATTTTGTATTAAGGACCCCAAAAAGCTTTTGTTTATGTGGGTAAAAGTTGTATTTGAAATTAACAATGAAATGTTAATTCACTTAATAATAAAAATGAACCTACTCTACACATTAACATAAGTGACATATTTTCAAGAAAAGTAACTATTTTCAAAAAACATCTTGGTGAGATCAGCATTGTTTTACATTTTTGAAAATCTCTGTAATGTCTGCCTTAACAGAAAACAACTGTATCCTCACATCTTCCTTAGTATTCATTCTGTTTCAGCATCACACATCATGTGATCTCTGGACATTGCCACTCTGCAGTCACTATAGGAAATGACAGTGAGATAGGCAAATAAATTCTTACAATCATGAAAATAACATTTAACCCTGAACCCCCGAAAGGAACTCCTAGGGAGGTCCTTGGACCACAGTCTAAGAACTGCTGTATTCTGAGTAGAGACTGGAGGGAAACAGCAATCTTTGACTTAGCTATTTAGGTAGAGAAACCTTATTTACATGGTAAGTTTTACAAAAGGAAGAATGGGCTACTCCAAATATAAGAAATCCTCAAAGAAGATGGAGTCCAAATAGACTACCATGGACCCAACCTGCCTTACCCATTAAAACTTGTGGCTTTAAGGTGGGTATTGGTGAGTCCTGCCTGCAACCCTATCAACTCAGGAGGCA